GATGCCACAATCCTTCTTGGATGGCTGTAAAGGAACACCTGGGCACCGGTTGTGAGGAATGGGATCAAGGCCTACTGTTCTGTGATCAAATAAGGTTTAGCACGAACTTCCGCGGTCCTGAAGCTAATTTGATCTGTGCTCCTTTGAGAAATATGTACCTTACACGTGAAACACGCGGTGGTCAAGCATCGCAACTCGTTGTCTGATTTGTTTTGCCCTCGTGTGTCTTTTGGGTGAATCCATTCAATTCCAATGGGATGCAGGTCATCAGCATGTGAGCCCTATGTCAGAGTCTAAGCCACCTAAAAGGGGTTCCGCATCTCAAGGCAGAGTCGATACAGCGGCGTTGGTCAAAACTCTCAGAGCAAGGCCCCTCCACATGTTGGTGTCATTTTGGGGCACCCAATCCCAGCAGGGTGTGTCTCTAGGGTGGTTTCCCTTTGTTTCCCAAACCAACCCCAGGTACCTTCAACAAGGATGGACCGCTCAAAGCCAAGGCAGGCTACTGGAGGCCCCGCCTGAGGTCCTTTACGTGGCGGCGCTGGGTGGTTGCCGGGCCTTTGCGCAGAAGACCCTCAGACGAGCCGCTTCTTTCGAGAGATGGGAGGATTCTCCGCATGGGTATTTGTTGACAGGGGTCCCTATATTTCACTTTTTGGCGGTTTTTAAGCATCACCTTTGCCCATCCTGAGGTGAGCTTTGTTTAAGCACCAACTCGGTTTGACCTTGAGCGAATGTCGTCCTTGTTTGCAGCGGTTTTGGGTGGTCCCTTTTTCGGCGGTTTTGAGGGGACATCAAAGGACATCCCCTATTCCGGTTGTTGCCCATTTCAAGCAAGTATGTGTTGAAACAAAATGGGACTGCTTTCTCCAAACTGCTTGCCGTATGGCTTCTTGATTCATTTGGAAATATTGCATAACTGTTGCTGACGTTATGTGTCTGCCAGACTGATGCTCTGCACCTCTCTTTGTGCATGCGCTCTGCCGGCCGAATTGATTGCTTGCTGGATTGCACTAGTGACGCAGCCTGGTATGCTGCTGGCCGTGGATTTTTCTTCCGTCACGCTGGCTGCTGGGAATGCATGCCTTCCGGCCTGGCGCTCCGCTCTGGGTGCATAGGCGTCCTTTTAGGTTCTTTTGGTTGAACATAGATGGCACTGGTTTTAGTTTGGTTGCAATGTCTGGGTCCGCGTGTTAGCCCGTGTCGCACGTATTCATCTCGAGATGTTTTGCTTGCATCTTCACGATGAGACCTTCTTATCAGCTGTGATGCCGCCTATGCCAGCACGGCGCGTGATCATTTTGATGTTGTCCGCGTTATCATCAGCTCTTTGTGTGCAGTGACGGTTTGCGTGTCATGATGCGCCTTTTTCATGATCATTATGCTGCCTGCGTGTCGAGATGCTTCTCGAGATGCTTCCTGCAGTAATGTTTTTGGTCGCGAGGCTCGAGTATGTCTTGCTGCAAAGTGTTTGCGATCTGCACTTGCGGGAATATAAAAGTCGCTGTTTTCAAACATCAGCCGTTTCCCTTGGTGTTTGGTGCTTTTCGAGAAATAAATTTGGGGGGTGTAGGATTTCTGGAAAGCATATGGAAGGTACTGTACCTGGGCACCCCCTAGATACTATTACACATCTCAGAGACCTTTGCCCCAACTTCCCCATGTCTATTTGGGATTGCAAAAGCAACTTGCCTTCTGTCCTCAAACGGGGAAGCGGTTGAGTGGGTTCGGGGCAATTGCCCAAAAAAATATTGCGTGTCCTCACACAGCAAAGAACGGAATCAAAACTCCCCGGCACTTGGTGTTGGTAGGGATGGTCACCAGCCCCTTATGATTTGAGACAACCAAAGTGATAATGTGAGGGTTTCAACAAGGAAGCCGTGCCCCACCAAGCGGGAACTCCGACCCATTTCCGAACTCGAAGGTCATGAAAGCAGCGTACACCCAAGACGGCTGGAGTGGCGACGAGGAGCATAAAGCTTGGGACCTCGAGAGATGTCAGTCGGTGTTTCATTTGTATCGTTTCATCCGGCTCGGAGTGTGTTATCATGTCGGCTCTCTTTCAAAAGTGTCCCCAGCAAATTCCCAGATCGACAAAATCCACTGTGGAGCATTGGAGAGAAATCCAGGACACGGGCGAGATGTCATCATGGTATGCTGGGTGCTTAGCTCCACTTCTGGTCCGAGCAGTCATGTCCTGCTTGTCGACAAAAGGGCAGGCTTTTGTAATCAACTAATCAAGCCCCTTCCACAGGCTTCTTTTGCCACTAAGAGTTGTGATGGCGGGTCCACCAAAGTTTGTCGGTTTGGGGCTTGGGGTGTTGTATCCTGTCTGGGCATCACTAAGATTCCCCTTTACTGACTGGAGGTTCGGATTGGTGGCTTGGGGCGCTTGCTGATGGTACCAATCACCAGTGGATGCACAAACTCCAAGATTGATGCTCCCATTTTAGAGTGACCTTGTCAATCTAGCTATTTTTGCCTCTAGGTTTTACACGATGAATTCCCTGGTTACCTACTATGGTTGGGTAAGGGCAGAAACAATGAATCTGCAAGGTTTGGTGATCACACCCGTGACCCGGAACCTTTTCAGGCTTCCGAAGTCCTGGATTTCGAGGTCCTTTCCTCTCTGGGGCTGTACTCCCTGGTCCCCGGCAGCGACGACCTGGTCCTGGGCAGTCCGGAGGCGGCAAATGGTCCCAAACAAATCCAATCGCTCGGGTGGGACCCGTCATTTCCCAGGTGCTAGCCACGGTGGCTTTGAAGCCACACCTTTTGGTTGCCAAGTTTATCCGCCTCCAATGAACATGTTGGTTGTTTGAGAGTCAGGATTCAGTTTATTCATTGCTTGGGTCCCGTGCAGGTGAAGCGAGCCCGGCTGGTTGTGCCAGGCCGACCCGAGTTGGAGATCCAGGCGCGCTCCCGAAACGGGATCTCCACGTTTCACGGGCTAGCGGTCAGGGAATTAAGACAAATGTAGGATGGTGCACATAAGGCGCCCCAGAATGAATACCCTGAAGCATACACTAAGCCAAGTCACCTGCAACTGGCGATGCATGGTTCTTTCAGCCCCAGGGTTAACTGGGGTTGGTCTTCTGCAGATTGACATTGAGCCCCCAGGTGCAATCATTTGTAGCGGAATATTTGTGCAAGCAGGGTCACTCAACAACCCTGGTTACAACCCACTCAACCCTGACGTACCCTGCCCCTTAAGCAAGGAGCTCAACCAATCGGGGTGAGAGGAATACTAACATTTCTTTTTTGGAGGAAGAGTCTTGCAGGGCGAGTTTCCCTTTAACGCATGATTTAAAGGGCAATTTGGACATTCTTCTGGGTTCATTTGTGCCCAAACCTGATTCTGTAGACATTCGGACCCCCTACCCCTCGAGGTTTCACAGCTCATGGAACCCCTCCATCAGAACATCAGATGCTTCAGTCAGAAGCTTTCCTGGTCGGGTCCGGGGTTTAGGGCCCTTGAGCTGTGTATCAGGAAATCATGGGTGGATGTGTTGGGAACTGGAGATTTGAACCGTCGGTTCTTGAGGATAAACATGAAACCACCAGAACATCACCAAGCTGCGCGCCAAACCACCATCTTACTCAGGACGACCGTAGATGGACAATTCCTTTCATGCCGGCAAGAACAGGGCATGTTTCGCCTTGAATGTACTTTGACCCACCCGTAAGGCTAAAGGCTAAGAAGGAGGTCTTTTTCCGAGGGTACTCTTTTTGGGATTCGGGGAAACCTATTTTAGCAGTTCCGGAATCCATTTGGAGACACACCCCCAAGTGTAGGTTGCCCTCGAGGCTCCAGAGAACAGCGAGGATCATGTGTACGTGCAGGGCGTCCAGCTGAACGGGAAGGCTTTGGAGGCCGCTGTGCCGCCCCTCGGGCCAACACCTGGCGCATAGGCTTTAAACAACCTTGCCGAAAGGTTCTCTTTACAGGGTTGTAAGCTGGCGCGTAGGCTTTAAACACTGGGTAGGCCGATTCCTAGTCGATAGTTCAAGCAAGCAAGCGAGCGATGGTCAAGTCTAAGACGGGTTTTCAACGTGTTCCCTTCTACTCCACCGTGCTTGCTCCACGAACTATGCACATTGGTTCCACGTGCAGAATCCCATCACGTAGGTACCCTTTGCCTGGCCACCTTCTTTTTTCGTTTGTGAAGGCTTGGTCAGCTGAAAAGTAGCTTCCATCTCCCCAAAGGACATAGTGTTGCACCAGTCCTGGTGCCGCGCACAAGCTGGATACATGCTTCATTAGCACTGTGCCATGTTCAAAACACCTTTTCATGTGGGGTTGGTACGGATCGAACTGGACAACAATAAGGATTGCTCTTAAGGGATCCATGACCACCATGACCCAGAACTCGCGGAGATTTGACCATAGCACATGTGTCTCACCGAGGTACTCCTTGCTCGCGAAGAGCGGCGGCCGACTGGAGTTTACCATGTCAACAGCTCCTACTGACTCGCTCTAACGCGCGCGGACCTCTTTGATTTTATAGTTTGCTTCTGGATTGGATTGGTGGGAACTCATGACTCTATTTTTTTCTGAAGTTCTCTGCTTTCTTAGGCCAAATTGAAGACACCAAACACCACCAATTCAACTAATCCATGCCACCCAAACCATCAATCCGATCTTACCTCCATACCACTCCCCAAGCCGCTAGAGACAACCCAAGCTCGACGCGATCTCTGGCCGTATCAAGAGCCGAACAAAATGGTGCTTTGAAGCTGTGCGATGCGGGGGGGGGGGGGGGACGAAAGTGTCCTTTTGAGGATTCTCATTCCCAGGCAACCCAAAAGGCAAAGGGAATGTTGGAAGAAAGCCAAAAGGGGATACCCATTTTAGGGGTTGTTTCACAAAATGCTCGCAAAGGAGCCGAGTTCGCTCGGGTTGATTCAACTTGTTGTTTTACAAGGCAGCCAAAACGAAGCCATCCCTTTTGGTGAGTCGGAGTCCGGAGACACATTTCACTGAATAAAGTGCTCCGCAGGAGCACGAGGGCGTCTTTGGCAGCGCCATTTGCGCTCTTATCACGTGTCTCTGATGCAAGATGGGGAGAGACTCAGCAATGCTCAAAATTCTTTTTGATTTTGTAATCTTTGTGTGGGCTTCTCCAAAATACTGGGTTGGCGAACTCTCTCTCTCTCTCTATCTCTATGTATGTTCCAGTCCCCAGGCCACCAACCCCCTCCCCCTCGCCCCGAAAGGGTAGGGTCCCCCCCAGACCCCTCCTCGAGCCCCTGAACTTGCACCCTTGCATCCCAACACGTAGGACAATTCAACCCACAACCAACCCCAAACCCCAACCCTAAACCAACCCTAAACCAACCCTAAACCAACCCTAAACCAACCCAAAACCAACCCTAAACCAACCCTAAACCAACCCTAAACCAACCCTAAACTAACCCTATATCAATCCTAAATTAACCTGAAACCAAACCTAAATCAGCCCTAAGCCAACCACCCTAAGCCAACCCTACACCAGCCCCAAGCCAACCCTAAGCCAACCCTATACCAACCCTAAACCCCCACCCAACCCCACCCCCCCACCCCACCCCCCACAGAGGGGGGGGGAGGGGGGGGGTCCACGGCCTGGAACGTATACAAAAGCAACGTATATATATATATATATACATACGCCCTACATTTAATTCTCG